GTTGAGTATTTCATATCCTGCTAAACAAAGCTTCATAAGCAAAGGAGAAATAAAATGTTTCCCAGAACTGAAAGAATCTGTTGCAACTAGACTTACAAGAGATACTTAAGGAGCTCTAAACTTGGAAACAAAATAAACATACCTGCTATCACAAAAACACACTTAAATGCATCACCCACAGACCTCATAAAGCAACTAAACTATCAAGACTACAAAGAAACCAGCTAACACCATCACAACAGAAACAAAACCTCACTTATCAATATTAATTTTGAATGTAAATGGTGTAAACACCCAACTTAAAAGACAAAGGGTGGCAAGTTGGATTACAAAAACAAGAACGAACATTCTGCTGTCTTTAAAAGACTCATCTCACGTGTAATGACACCCATAGGCTCAAAGTAAAGAGAGAAGGATCTATCATGCAGACGAAAAAATAAAAAAATAAAAAGAGTGGGGCTTGATATTCTTGTATTAGATAAAACAGACTTTAATCCAACAACAGTAAAAAAGGACAAAGTGGGCCATTATATAATAACAAATGGTTCAATTCAGCACAAAGACTTAACTCTCCTAAATATACATGCACCCAGATTCATAAAATGAGTACTTCCAGACCCATGAAAAGACTTAGCCACACGATAATAGTGGAATACTTCAATACTCCACTGATAGTATTAGATAGAACATCAAGGCAAAACACTAATAAAGAAATTCTGGATGTTAATTTGACACTTGATCAATTCGACCCAATAAACACCTACAGAATACTCCACTGAACAACCACAGAATATATGTCCTTCTCATCTGCACATGATACATACTCTAAGAATGACCACATGCTCTGCTATAAAGCAAGTCTCAATACATTTTTAAAAAGTGGAAATCATACCAAGCATATTCTTGGACCACAGTAGAATAAAAACAGAAATGAATGCCAAGAGAAACTCTCAGCAGACATTTTTGAGTGACTATTTGTACCAGGTATTGGACTAGGTTCTGGGAATACAATGATGACCAATATGGGCATAGTCCTTGCCTTTGCAGATCTTACCTTCTAACAAGATGAAACAAGTAATTCCATAAGTAATCAGACATTTCCAATCATAAGTTCAACAAAGAGGGAATACAGGGTGATAGGGGACCTAAGCTAGACTGATGACTCAAGAAAGACTTGCCAGATTATGTGACGTTTCAAATTAACTGTAAAGGATGAGAAGCTACAATAAAGAGGGGCAGAAGGATAAAGGTGCAATTCAGGCACATGGAAGGGCATCAGTGAAGGCCCTGAAGTGGGGAGAAGCATGAGCACTCGAGGAAATGAAGGAGAGCTAATATGGCTGGATCCTAGAGAGAGAAGGTTAAGAGGTATGAGACGAGACTGAAGAGTTAGGCAGGGCCTCTTACGCTATGTTTATAATTTTGGAGTGTATTTTAAAAACAATGAGAAGTCATGAAGTGTTGTAGGTAAAGGAATAATCAGATTTGAGTTTTAAAATATTTACTCTGCCTTCAGTGGGGAGAATGGACTGGAGAGAAGCAAGCATTAATGAGGGGTCCAACTATAACCAATTGTAGTAGTCTAGGGAAGAGATTATGTGGGCATTCCATATTGAGATTAATTGATATAGTTACAATATATTTTTGAGGTAAATATGGCAAGTGTTGCTGATGAATTGGTTTAAGGGTGAAAGACAGTGATGTGTCAAGGATGATTCTTGGGTTTTTGACTTGAATAGCAGAGTAGAAGGTGGTACTATTTCTAAGACAGGGAATGCTGGATGAAGAGAAGATTTGGGAGCGGGATTCAAATGTTCAGTAGTTCAGCACTGGACATGTTTGGAAGAGATGTTCAGTAAGAGATTGGATATATAGGTCTGGAACACAAAGGAAAGGTCCCAGTGATAGAGACCATTAAATTATGATTTGTATAACGATAACAGCCAGATTTCATAGTTGAGTAAATGTCTGAATACCAGGTAAGTGTTCAAGGAATCATGCTTTTTCAATTCAGGAAATAATTAAGTACAAAATTAGTGCCATAGTGATTTTAATAGAGTGGTCAATTTTTAGGTATCTGTTATCTCATTGTACTGTGACTTATCCCAATAAAATACTTAAGCTCTCAATAATACATATCCTTAGAATAACAGAATAGATGCAATTCAGCTGTTTTGCTTTATGCTTTTTTACTGTAATTATTGACTCCTATATTCATCTTTACTTTGCATAAAGTCTACAAAAATACATTTGAAAGAAAAGGTATTTGGAGCATTTTCTCCATGCACAACATTGAAATTTTCCTAATGTAATAATATTTTCTATGCCCAGAAAAGGGCATGAATGAGTCCCGTAATGATTTTAGAGAAAGGACAGCAAAATAGAAGTTGGTAATATTATCCTTCTGAGGATCATGCTTTCTATTCTTAGGGGAAAAAAGAAGGTTTCAAATTCAGGGCAGCACAGATTGGAAAATCTATGCTACAGAGTAATTACTTGTTTATTTTGTTTTACCCTACTAAATGTAAACTTCATGAAGACAGGGGTTCTTGTCTATTTTGTTCATTGCTCTAATCTCAGCATCCAAAATAGTGTCTTGCACATAGTAGGTGTTCAATGAATATTTGAGGAATAAACAAATTAATGAATTGCATCTTCATGGTGTGATTGTCAGAAAATTTCTGAATTCCTAGAAAGAGATACTCATATTGAAAAGTGTATGTATGTGGTTTATATATCTCATATACATGAACAAATGTATAGAAATATATATCCAAAGTATGGTAGAAATACTTTTATTTATCAGATTTTTAACCATCCATCTGTGGCTTCTATTAGAGAAGATTTTGGAAAGTTTCCTGTGTTTACTCTGAGAAATTCATTTATTTCCATTTTCTACTGTCATATCAAGAGTCTCACAAATAATATCTATTTCACTTCTGATAATACTAAAAACTTTCTTTACATACCAAGCCAAATGACAGAGTGATTTACTGAACAGTGCATTATACTTCTCAGGGGAATCTCTTTTACAGGAAATACTAATCAAAGACCATATCATAAGAGAATTGTGTAATATAACTGGATGATCTATAAAAGAAATTAATGAAACATGTACAGTGTTGCTAATGATTATGGTAAAATGCAAGAGAAATGCAGTAAAAACCCATCAAAATATATTTTAAAGCATTTTCATGGAAATATTTACAATTAATGAACACTGAACATCTTCTAAATATAAGGCACATGATAGTGGTGGGCAGATATAAAGGCGAAGATGGTAAGCACTATGAGGACAGGGACTCATCTCTTCCATCCATTAAGGGAGTCAAAATCAAGTTTGGTTTAGCAAACATTTATTAAATTCCTACTATGCACCGGGCTTAGGTTAGGTGCGAGAGTGAAAAAGATAAACGAGACTTGGTGTCTGTCATACTGTACAGGGGTTTCTAATTATGGTATTGCATGTCTGGGTGTGTATTTTTGTGTGGATATGTGGCGATATGTGTACTCTATAGGAATCGACATAAATGCAAACTGTCGAAGCAGTCCGGCAGGTTAAGACAAAGTCTAGCACCGTATAGGAAAACAGCCCACACACGGAGATGAAAGGAGGAGGAGGTGGAAGCCCAACGACATCCTGGGAATAACTGTTAGCTAGAGAATGGGAAGATCATTCCACGCTGAGCATGAGTGTGGTCACAGATACTGGAAAGAAAACAATGTCTGGGTAACCACAAGCATCTTAGAGGATAGGTGGTATCGGGGAAGGCCCACTCCTGCACACTATCTTTGATTTATTTTGAAACTCTTGTAAAATAACTACACAAGACATTTCTGTGATCAAAAAAGTATCCTCCTTCATTCCCAGCACCATTCCCCTTTTGTTTTGGTGTTGTCAGACAGCGGAGTATTTTAAATAATAGGGGTCGGGGTAGGGGGCGGATGAAGGCAAGCGGTGGGAGGTGACAGACCTTGAAGATACTTATGAGAACTCTGTTAGCTGTTAGACATAGACGACCTAAAGTCCCTCATCAAATACAATCACTTTAATATAAAGGCCATTTAACCTTAATTATTTCTACGGTAGCTTATGGAAACTAATAGATTGGAAACTAAATGTAAACTAAGGAGAATCTTACATGAACTTATCTAGTTCGTGCGGAAAATCAAATTCAGACACAACAAACGCTTATCCAGTACAACTATAGTTTCATATATTTTTTCCCTCTTATAAAACAAGGCTAATCTATTGCCCGAGTGGCTGTCTGGACTAATTAGAACAAATACGGACGCGGTGAGAGTTCCATTCTGAAGAAACTAGGGTGAGAGGTTTTTCGTGGGTTTTCATTGAGGAGACATGGAAACGAAAAAGATATGGAAAATATTTTGAAAGTATTGGTGTGAAAAACCGTGCCTCGAGGGCCAACACGAAAGTACAGACACGAGGGCGGGAAATAGTTTTTTAGGCTGGAATGAAAATCTGCTTTGTTCACAGAACAAACCCCTTTCAATTTCACTCCGCTCTCCGCGTCTCCTAACAATTCTCGCTTCAGTATTGTCAAGGGGTATCCAAGTCTCCCACATTCATCCTAGCTAACGGAATAACAATCTACATTTTTTTCCTACTTCAGCCCTCCAGGCTAAATGAGCTACAGCACTCAGCCTGGAAAATCAGTCGAGCTTTTAATTTACGTGTAAACATTTTAAATATAATACTGTAGTCGCCTGCCAGGACCTTCCACCCAAGAACTACAACACCCAGAATGCATTGTTTTCCTTTCCGCCTTCCACTGAGGGAATGCCTAACTTGATCTCATTTCCACAAGTAATAGTCACATGACGCGTTTCCCGTCAAGATGGCGGATACTCTCCCTTCGGAGTTTGATGTGATCGTAATAGGGACTGGTATGTGTAGCCTGGTACTTCCTGGACAAAGTTTAGGAAGACTGTCTTGTTTCTATTTTTTCTGTCAGTGGCGAGTTTTGGGACAAACATCGTGGGTCGAGCGTGGGAGGGAGAACGGAAAGGAAGTGAGGTAGTCCGGAGTCAGCGCGGGAATTGGCAGTTACAGGGAGGGGCTTGGACCCGCAGTGCTTATCGCCATTTGAGTAGGGGCTGATCTGGTTGTTGCTGATTGCTGAGGTTGGTTGCTGCGGTGATTCCTGTTAATTTCCTTAGAGGGAAGTGGATGTGCAGTGTCATGAAATGGAGGGTCGGGATTTTATCAACGGAGACGACTTTGGCAAGACATTATGATTCCTTCCTTATTGATTTCAAGGTGATATTCCCCATCATTTTGTCTCGCCATTTCATAGGACTTTTTCATAGATTTGTATGATCCTAGGGTACATCGCAGCTCAGGCACAGGTTAATCCTCAGTTTTACAAGAAAGATGCTCAATTATTGCCCATGTGCGTATGGATTTACTAGGGAAAGCAAACGGATTCTATTTTGTTGAGAAACCTAGGGAATTGTATTTTGTTGGGGTAGCCATTATTCCTGCTTTATGGTGCTTAAAGCATTTCTACCGCCCATAACTGAATGTGCTGAGAATAAGGTCCTGAGTTCCAGTTCAGGTGTGTGACGTTATCTAATTCTTTTCCCGTCGTTTGTTCTTCATGTTTTGGGTGGAACCAGAACCTCCTCTGCAATTTCTGTTTGACATGTGCAGTGTACAACACGTAGCAGAAGACATGTGGCAGCAATTTCATTTTTTAAAAAAATAGTGTAAGGGATGATCATTTTAGGTGGGATGAAATAGGTTGTTTGATGGGGTTTTCTACTGTTTGTAGAATGTGGTAGGCCAGAGAAGCTCTGGTGGATGGGACCCTGTCCATTGTGTTAATGAATTCAGTTCGTTGTCTTCTCAAACAGCCATGATGAGGAGCAGCCATGTTTTCAGGATGGGAGTAAAAATAATAGCTACCTGTTTTCGAATGCTTAAAATTTCCTAAGCACTGTGCTAAGCACTTTACAAGCCGGACATAATCCTCACAACCTTGTTAGAGTAGTAGGTACTCTCTGCATTTTGTAGAAGAGGAAAAGGGGACTTGGAAAGGTTGTAATTTGCTCAGTATCACACAGCTTGTAAATTTCCAAAGGCCCCTTCCATCCCAGAAAAACAATCCGTGGTTCTGATCCTCAGAGTTGACCCATATTCGTAGAAACAATTGAGAAAACCTGGTTTTAGGCCTTGCTTAGTGCTAGTGTGAATTGCTTGAATTGGGGTGGGGGGTCGCAGGCACTACATCTCTCTGAGCCTCAGTTTCCTTGTTTTTGAATATAGGGAAGGTAAACTAGATGGGGTTTATGTTGTCTAGCAAAAAATGCCTGGGTAATAGTTCTTAGAACAGCACGGACCTGTTTATTCGTAGCCTGAAAATAACAGCATGGCTACAAATATGGTTGTAGTTGCTATGAACAGATGTTGGATGAGAGCTGGAAAGAGCCAATGAACTATTCATTTGTTCTTTCCAGTCTATACTAAAAGTGAGAACAGCATCCATTTTGGAATAGTTGTTATACCATACTTGAGATTTATAATCTTGCTTTTTTTGTTATGTAGGAACTTGAGGTGTTTTTAACAATTTTTTTAATCAACAATTCTTCTTTCAGGTCTGGGTTCAAATTTTAATTGATGAATGTTAATTCTTATGAATGATGCTAATGCTTTTCATAAATATTTTGCCTTCTGTACAGTTCAGATTTGGAATACATCCATCCTGATGGAGTTTGTTTTGGTAGAGGTAGGAAGTTATAGTGAGTGAGCCAGAGAATTGCATCAGGTGACATTGCTTGTATTTGGAAAAAGACTCATATTATATTTATCCCAGTGAGTGCAATGTTATTTTTCAGTGTTTGGGAAGAACTTATTTGAAGTTAATCTTAAAACTGAAATTTTTCATATTGTTTATTGGTGACACATTCTAGGTTTTATCAAGCACATTGCTTAAATTTATGATATGTAATTTTGTTTTTAGGTACATCAAAAGTGTAAAAATTGAATAAAAGAGTCATTCCTCAAATCAACGATTCCAACAAATCGAAAGTGTAAAAATTGAATAAAAGAGTCATTTCCCAAATAAATGATTCCAACAATTCCAATCATTATTTAATTTATTTTTTAGCGCACTTGGAATATTTCTCTTGTGAAATAGTTTGCTGAAAGTCGCCTTTAAAATGTTTGCTTTATTAAATGTATTACATTGGGTAAATCATAGAAAAAGCAGTGTTTCATAGATTCAGTTGTATTAAAAGTAGAAGCAATAATGCATGCATCAGAAACATGAAGAAATAGGCTATTAGATATACTTTTTAGCATATTTAGTCCTAGGTAAAATGTCCTAAAGGGACAATTGCTTCATCAAGTATAATCATGTGAAGATAATATTTTATAATCCCTTTGACCTTGATTAACTTGCATTCTCATTTTCTGTAATTCAAGATGGAAATTTTTCCTTAAGATCATATTTTCAGGAGATTATGGGAAAAATAAACTTTGTATTTTCTTAGTTAAGCCCATTTCCTTCTGATTAGAAAATACAGTAAATATCTCTTGAACACCCAAAGACAGAAGAGTAAGATAAAGTGAATTGTGGAAAAAATAGAAGAAAATGGAATAAAGAAGGAGGGTCAACTGGAGTCTCAAGGGAGAGGATAAAAATAGATATATGTGGTAAGGGTCTAGAAAGTGTTCCTCCTCAGCTTGGGCACAGAATTGCCATTTTTCAGGATATTTTGCCATTTAAAAAGTCATTTAAATGACAGTTTTGTGGATTATAGACAAGTACCATTGGTTTCAGGTTAAAAATAGTCCCAGTAACATAACATCTCACTGGAGGTGACTTATCTGGCAGCCTGTGTAATCTGCAGCACAGCAGAGCCAAGAGCTCAACAGAAGAGCAGTCAAGATGAAAGTTATAAGACCTATATGATAGTATTGACATGCTTCATACATAGGGGAATCCCTGAGATCATCACTTAGAACATATTCATCCTCATTTTAAAAATAATTCTAGCAAGTTCAGCATATTAGAACCACCCCCTTAGAAGATACAAGGGATGTTATCAACTTCTGCAAAGACTATGTTTGGTGGGGAGTGCTCTTAGACATATAAATGACGATTTATATCTATATAGGAAAGGGAGGAGAAAAACACGTAAAATGCAAACTTAACATCAAACATCGCAAAGCCCTGATAACATTTAGTGTAGTGACAAATATTCATTTTTCAGGTCATTCAACCCACATTTATTGAGAACCTAGTCCCTTCCCTTGTGAAGTTTACTGCATTGCCTATTCTGAGGAACTTTTTGGGCTTCCTAACAGTCATATCCCCAAAGCTGTTCTTAAGACAATGTAGGCTTTTCATTGCATCCTTCTTTCTTTTTGAAGACCATACAGAGATTCAGCCTGCATTTTTTTTCCCTTTTTAAAAGCACACTGCTCACATCTTTTGGAGTTCTTCCCCTAAGATGGGCTGCAGAGTATGTTAGCTTAATTTTTCTCCTGAATAGGATAAACACATAGATTCTTTTGATTTAAAAGTTTTATTGTTAACCAAGCATGGTGGCATGGGCCTATAGTCCCCCTTACTCCATAGGCTAAGGCGCAGGCATCCCTTGATCCTGGAAGGCGGAGGTTGCAGTGAACTTCGATGGTGCCACTGCACTCTAGTCGGGGAAACAGAGTGAGACTGTCTCAAAAAAAAAAAAAAAAAAAAAAAAGAAAAAAGGTTCATTGGCCAGGTGCAGTGGCTCACAACTGTAATCCCAGCACTTGGGGAACCCGAGGTAGGTGGATTGCTTGCTCAGGAGTTAGAGACGTCAGCCTCGCAAGTAGCTGAAATGGGCAACACAGCAAAACTGTATCTCTACAAAAAAATACAAAAATTAATTGGGTATGGTGACACATGCCTGTAGTCCCAGCTACTTGGAAGGCTGAGGTGGGAGGATTGTCTGAACCTGGGAGTTTGAGGCTTCAGTGAACTATAGTTGTGTCACTGCACTTTAGCTTGCGCGACAGAGCAAGACCCTATCTCAAAAAAAAAAAAAAAAAGTTATATTGCTAAAGATTATGGGGAAAGAGAAGGGATAACAAAGATAAACACGAGGGAAATTATAAGGACTACTGCCCCTAAATCCTGATTATCTTGCTAGATAGTGTTTAGCGCCATACAGTAGTAGATGTGGCAGCATGGTATATGGTAATCACATGACCATTCTATTGTGTGATTTTTGGGAAAATTACAGAATTTCTTGTGACATCATTTAGTTCATCTGTAAAGTGAGATTTCAATAGTTGATCTTCAAGGTAGGGATCTACCAGCTCTAAAATTGCCATTGTATATTTCTATTTATAACACCGTGTCCTTGAGAAAAGGCTAAATTGTGTTCTGTGTAGTCTTTTTAAGAAGGAAAGTCAGTGTTTAATATACTTCAGAAATTTTCCTATAAAAATGGCTGATATGGTTTGGATATTTGTCCTGCCCAAATCTCATGTCGAAATGTTATCCTTATTGTTGGAGGTGGGGCCTGGTGGGAGGTGTTTGGGTCATGGGAACGGATCCCTTATGGCTTGGTGCTGTTCTTGTAATAGTGAGTTCATTCCTGCAGGATCTGGTGGTTTATTGAAATTTTTTTTTTTTTTTTTTTTTTTTGAGACAGGGTCTTGCTCTGTCACCCTGGTGGAATGCAGTTGCACAATCATGGCCCACTGCAGCCTTAACCTCCTAGGCCCAAGCAATCCTCCCACCTCAGACTCCCAAGTAGCTGAGATCACAGACATGCACCACCATGCCTGGCTAATTTTTTTTTTATTTTTGTAGCGATGGGGTCTCCCTATGTTGCCCAGGCTGGTTTTGTACTCCTGAACTCAAGCAATTTACCTGCCTTGGTGGCCCAAATTGCTGGGATTACATATGGGAGCCACTGTGCCTGGTCGACTGGTTGTTTAAAAGTGTGTGGCATCTCCCCACACTCTCGCTTGTCTTGCCTGTCACCAAGGGAGATGTCTGCTTCCCCTTTGCCTTCTGCTATGACTAAAAGCTCCCTCAGGCCTCCCCAGAAGCTGAGCAGATGCCAGTACCATGCTTGTACAGCCTGCAGAACCCTGAGCCAATTAAACCTCTTTTCTTTATAAATTACCCAGTTTCAGACATTCCTTTATGGCAACATAGGAACGGCCTAATAAAATACAATAACTGATTAGAAAAGGCATTTTCTTAAAAATGATAGGCTGCTTTTTTCAGAAAAGGTCATGTAAGTAGCACAGTCCCA